GGTTAGTAAAATTTAAATCTGAGATATTTTCCAATCGTTTCTATTCTTGGGGATTATGATGTAAGGGTGTAAATGAGAATGTGCGGTGGTAGTCGTTTGCTTGTAAGGTTGAGATATGACGTCATGGTGATAAGAGTCTAGGTGAATCTTTTCATAACATTGTTGTCTTAATCCTCGTTACATGCTAACTTTAAACGCTTTCAGACTCGCTGCATCAGATATAGTTCAGCGGATATCCTCACTCATATCGGCTCGGTTCTACTAAGAAATTATTAATTGAAATAAGTGATTTAGTTTAACATCTTATGTAGTTAATCATCTAAATAGGTATTTTCTATTACAGTCTGATAACTTTCTCTTGATAGTACAATTTTGTTTTGTGTAAAACGAGAAAACAGCTACTTTACCAGGTTTAAAAAGATTTTAGCACCGAACTGATACTGTGCCAACTGATTTGCTTCAGTTACTGCAATAGACACACAGTTATAAATAAATATACTATAAGAGAAGAGGGACAGAGAAATCCATATGAATGTATTCAACGTCAGATATATTGTTAATCGATGAAGAACTAGTAAATTCTAAAGAAAATGTCATTCGATCTTCCTCTTTCATATAGAACCGACAACGTCATCAATAACAGCAACAACAACAACAACAACAACAACTAGAACAACGACAACCAAGACTATCACCAAAACAACCACGAAGATAACGACGAAAACAACAACAAAAGCAACCACCAAAACAACTACAAGAACAACGATGAGATTAACTACAGAACCAACAATTACTTCTACATCAACAAGAACAACAACTACCGCAACAACATCATCAACAACAAAACCTACTTCAACATCAACGACTGCCTCAACATCATCAACAACAACAGCAACTACCTCAACATCAACGTCAACAACAACAACAACAACTAGAGAAACAACTACAACGACTGCGACTACAACTACAACAACTTCAACTTCAACGTTAACAACTACAACTTCAACTACCTCACCTACAAAAACTACAACTACAACTACAGTTACAACCACGACAACTACAACTTCAACTACAACGACAACAATAACCACAATTACAACTACAGTTACAACGACAACTATAACAACTACAAACACAACCACGACGACAGCAGCGACAACGACAACTACAACTACAACTACAACTACAACAACTACAACGACAACTATAACAACTATAACAACTACAGACACAACCACGACAACAATAACTACCTCAACGACAACAACTACAACTACTGAGACAACAACCACCATAACAATCACCACAACAATAACAACCAGTACAACTACAACTACAGACACAACAACGACAACTACAACTACAGAAACAACAACCACCACCACTAC